GATGATGTAAAACCTTGGAGTTTTCAGCTAAAAACCTTCAGCGCCACTCCCTATTTAAGTATGCAGAAAGTATGTTTAGCTGATTATCTCTGTAGTTGTTCATTCAATAATAGTACTTTCATTTTTCAAAACAAGTAATTGTGCATGCCTACCTGCTGATACCAGACAACAGTCAGAATTGCACTGCTAGCATACTTGAAAAAAAATTATTGATTATTACACAACTTATGTATTGCTAAATCTCTGATATTTTGGAGTGGATCAAGTGAAAGAACCTTGCCTCATGAACTGCTTCACATTGCATGCCTGCGCTGCAAGGCAGTAGCAAATAAGTGTATTTAAAAAAATTTTTTCGCAATTTTAATCAACAAATATCATACAACAATGCAACAATGTATGGTACAACAATTTATTTGCACTTTTATGCTGAGTGTTGCTTACTGAAGGTCACTTGCTGCACAGTGTCAAATATTTCATTCGAACAATAATAATTACACAAAAAAATAATTTAATAAATAAGTTTTTAGTCTTGTTGTCGTCTTGACGCCTTTGTCCTAAAGCCTCAGAAAGAAACATAGCACAGGAGATTATGTAAGACCCATTATGTGATGACATCAGTAGTACCTTGGTCCATTGCAAGATAGAGGTACATTGCAAGATTGAGGCACTAAAGAAAGAAAAAGGGTAGAAAGAGAGGTGCATAGGAATGAATTGTAATGGTAATTCAAATTTATTACAAAAGTAATAATTTTCAGTAATGATAATGGTTGTGACAATTTGTTTATTTGAGACATAGTGGCAATGGCATTCATGCACATGTATATGTACCTGTGCTTCACTTAATTAGTGAGTCAGTGTCATACATGTAGGCCTGTGACAATTACCATTACAATTACCCAGAAATCCATTGACTTAAATAAATGTACATCACATAACACTTACCATCATTATGCTTCAGCCAATGCAACACAGCACTAATTTTACTTTGTTGGACATATCCTAAATAATTAAATGTACATGGATTCAATAAGACACTATACTCCCTCTCAGTCTCAGTACATGCACTGTACACAAGAGCACTATATTGTACATTGTGTCCCACTGTTACAATTTGCTTAGCATTTATTACATTCCTGTTCCCACACTGCAGCAAATGACAATGTCTGTGATATACCAATGTACTAGAAAATAATCATAATAATAACAACAACAATGTTTGTATACATTAATGTATGTGTATGGTAATTTACAGTTGCTTACTGATACTAAAACTGTGTTAACACAAGAAAGAGAGAAGACATGTGAGAGACCTAGCAAAGGAACAAGAAAGAGCAAAAGTTAGACATATGCGTATGTCTGTGTGAGGAGGAGAGTGAGGAGACAAAGATGCACAAGGACAGGAGGCAAGGAACGCAAACATGAGGAGACAGAAATATGCAGTACCTATTAACAAAACAAACATGCATTGGGAAAGAGAAGAACTGTTTATTATAAACCTATATAGCATTGCAAATACTTAGAGTCAGGGTTCCTCACAAGATTTGGCATAGTGCTGATACAGCTTCTTGTCAATTAATGGATCGTCAAGTTGCTCAAAATTTGAGCCGAACACCCTGTACTATATACAGGGACACTGATCAAATTGAATCAAAAATGACAAGGAGAAAATTCTTCAATTTTATTAGGTTTCCTGATGCATATACATGTATTTATGTTGCAAAGAAAATCTGAGCCAATTCAGATAGAATTTGGATTTTTTAATAATTTTAAATTTGCTCAAAAATTGAACAAAACATTTTGTAGTATTATAGTACAAAGGGAAATTTGAGTAAAGAACTTTCAAATTTCTCTATTACATGCATACATGTACAATGAAGCACCATGGTGCGTGGACTCGCCTGCTGAGGATATTGTGTTACTTGTACTGCCCCCATCATGATATTATATATATATATATATATATATATATATATATATATATATATAAGATTTGAAAAAAGGATAATAGATTTTGAGTAAACTGCAACAATGCAATTACTGCACTGATCCATAAAATAAATTATAGATCTAGGTGTGGTCGGCACTTAGCAGTTCAGTGCAGATAAACATGGCATGTGGATAGGAGAAAGAAGAAAAGCTGAAATTTATTTTCGCATCTCAAGCTCTATTCAAAGAAAGAGTAAGTAAGCACAAAAAATTTGCCTAGATATTTAAAAGAGATTGAGATAGTTTGGTTGCTCCTGCTTTCCCCAGTGCTGCCTGAAAATTTTTCGAAGAGGCTAAATCACAAACTTTGAGCAACTGTAACTTGCAAACAAAAAAGAAATTAGAAACTTCCCACATATTTTTTAATTTAGGTACATTTCTCCACTTATTAATGCTAATCTTGACCAAATAGAGTGAAACACAAAGATTTGGCTAGGAAAAATGGTCTATTCTTGAAAATATTCGGCTTTTGCTACCACAGATTGCTATGAAAATACATACAACGAAGCTAAATAAATTACCTAATTCTCAAAGCTTAGAAAGAATTATAACTCAGGAGAGCCCAGTAAAAAAGATATTGACCAGGAATTAACAGGAATTTTCGTGACAGAATGACAACCCAACTGCATAGATCCACCTATATGCAAGTGTGGCAAGTCCAACAACATTAACTAAATTTTATCAAAAATACAAGAGGGAATTTTGTCAATTTTACAATGTTTTCTGATACACATGCATGTACATGTGTTGCGTAGAAATTTTGAACTGATTCCATTTAAAATTAAATTTTTAAATAAATTTTTAAAGTTATTGCAAGTGTCATGTACTGCACTGTGGTGCTTGTCGGCTCACAAAGCTCATGCTGTTTAGCTTACTTAGCATACTTTGTCAGAATCCCTGTTTAAACTACATGATTGACAACTGTGGAACCTCAAGGACATACGTGTATTGCATATCAAGCCTGAGACAACTCATGTGCACGCAAAAAAAACTTCATCTTGTTTATAATTATAATTACTAGACTACCATAGAGAGGCACTTTGGCAATACAATTTGTAGTATGATCAATGATCATTCAATAATAATAATATTAACAATTCTTACACAACCTATTTATATCAGGTATATGTATGATGTAATCATGAGTAGTGTGATGTTATGTAATCATCAAGGTGTCAAATATTAATAAGGTGTGTGTATGTACAATGTATGAGAGTATGAGTTATTTAATGTGTACATACTACATCGCCCTTTCTCAAACCTGTAAGGCGATCTGGAGGATGAATCGGAGTACCGGTACAAGTACGAGTCAAAATCAGCTCGAAGGGCGTGTTAGATGGTGATGGTGTGTTTTGCCCAGCTGTGTTAGGTAAAGATGAAATGTCTGTATGATTTCTCCTGGTCAGACATGGGGTCAATTACAATACAAAGTAATAAATTACTATTACTATTACTTTTCCACAAATGGAAATGTAATACTATTACAATTACTATTACTTGAAACCTAACCAAAATGTAATATTATTACTATTGTTATTACATATATATTTCCCTATTACTATTACTATTACTTCAAATTTCACCAAAATGTAATATATTACTATTACTATTACATGAGAAACCCTTACACTACTATTACTTCTATTACTTACTATTGATTGTCAACGGTCACTTTATTTATAATACCGTATGGTTGGTAATTTTCGCGGGGATAAACTTTCGCGATTTCACTAGTTACCTCTTATTGCTTTAATTTCGTGGTGTTTTAATTTCGCTCATGGGTGTGGTGGTTAATAATCAAGTTAGATCACGTGCGTGCTCACAATCAGTCAATCACACGTTGTAGCACGAGGGCTGGAATACTAGTACAGGATGGCTGTAGTCTCTTCCCTTTCTCTGTCGTTTAACTCTGTAATACGTGGTTTCCATGTCTACAAAGATGTCTGGGAACCACAAACAGACGAAATCCTGATTTGTGTCAGAGAAAGCGCAAACTTACACAATCCATTCACTGTCACTGTTACCAAAGGCCCTATGGTTGTCGGTCACGTTCCACGACGCATCTCAGCTCTTTGCTCATTGTTTCTACGAAGAAATGGACGTATAACATGTCGTGTAACTGGTAGCAGACAGCATTCTAAAGATTTACTTCAAGGAGGGCTTGAGATCCCTTGCATTTTAACGTTTGACACCGGAGACAAAGACCTAATTAGTAAAATAAGGAAGCTACTTATTACCACTGAAAACTTTAAAATAGGAGATGAACCTGTCATTGCAGAGACTGAAATCAAAAGCATTAAGACTACAGGTGACAGCAGCAAGAAAAGACGGATAGAAATAGACTGTGAGTCCTACGTGCCACTGAATGATGATGATGAGATCTGGGTGCGTATAGAGGGCATTGTTTTGTACATGAGTGACATGAATAGATTATCGGGAGGTTTGGAACTAACAGAGGCAATCATAAATTCTGCTCAAAAGTCAATCAAATCCCAATTCCCAACTTTACAAGGTCTTGGGTTAACATTTGAGGACCAACCATGTATTGATTGGGTGGACAACTATATACAAATCGCACACTGTCGTGGTAACCACTGGATAGCTATCAGCACAATAGGATGTGACATCAATAAAATTCATGTCTACAATTCTCTGTACTCAAATGTCGATACCAATACTGAACATAACATCAAGACAATTTTTGCATCTGACGTCAGTATCTCATTGCCATCAGTCCAAAAACAATTGGGATTGAAAGACTGCGGTGTATTTGCCATAGCTTTTTGCACACATTTAGCTTACAGCA